CTTTTGTACCCTGCTTTTCCTTTCAGGTCCTTTATTTTCTGGTATCAAGGTGAAGACACAGCTGGAAGTGCAAACTGTCCAACTCTACGTGGGCATAATAATGTTGGTCCTTTCTGTTTAAAGTCAAATCTGTGGCTATTTTCAGTCAAGACGATGGCTGCAGAAAATATGATTCTGATGTAATGAATGATGATGCATTTGTGTGTGCAAGAATCATACGTAAGCCACAGTACACTGAGCAAGACATTTACAAAGGAAGGAGAGGCAGAGGGAGTTTTAAAGACAGTCAGTGAGCTAACGTGGCTGATACTTACACCCCCCCCCCCTCCCCCCATAATGGAGGGTTTATATTTTAAGAAGGCACCTCCAAACAACGAACTCCAACTTTGACATGACTTTTCCATTCAGCACTGATGCCCACTATACAAGAAAATGTGAAGTCCTATATTATGTTATAAGCATAGGCATAATATCATTTCTATAATTTACATAAAGCAAGATGGAGTCACATTAGCTACATTTATGGATATTAGCTTAGAAGACGATACCATTCACTGTCAAGATTTTCAAGGACCCTATGATTGCATCCATTCATGCAGGATGCTGGTACGGATGAAGAACATGAGCCAAAAGGGTGGCATACTACATCATTTGAATCAGCTTATTAACATGGATAAAACGGTCTCCAAGCTTGTGGAAAAATTCAAAGAGAAGTAATTCCTCATCTGCAGTGATAACGGGAGTGACGATGGGGGTATTTGTTTGAAATATACAACTTACACCCACAGAAGTGATACAATTTGTGAATGAATGTTGATGTTGCTGGGGAGTCTTTAAGGTCGACATCAATTGAGTAAGCAAAGATACATTCTCATATACAACCATAAACTAATATGGTATAGTTTATATGGCTAAACTTGGGCATTTTGGTGCCACTAATCTAGACGTTTTGATTATATATGTGCCCATACTGTACCCCAATGAAAAATATGTGGACACAACTTTCATTGATGACACCCATCGTAAATTAGCCCTGAAACGAAACAAAGGAGTAGGAGCAGGTAGCCCACAGTGTTCTCCCAGTGAGATTAATCTCTGGAATCCATTCCCTCTTTAATTAGAGAAGCCAAAACTGTGGAAACCGTCAATCCAGGAAAGTCAAGACCTATTTATTCTCATTGTCAAATGACTACTTTTAATAATATCTATCTCAGGAGGGATCATTTCCTATCCTAGTCTAGACAGCTGTGACATAGACTTCGGGAACCCATTGAGAGCTGCATCCAAGTGTCTGCATCTCCACACTCACTCTCTGTCTACCATCTGTATGAGTGTACACATGGCTGAATGTGTGTGCTCTGAGTGTGTGACTCATGCTCAAACATGGCTGAGTGTCTGTGTGTGGCAGTCTGTTTGTCTGTCCTCTCTCTCAGACACCAGCCCAAAGTGCTGGTTTAACTGAGCAATGGATGTCAATGCAGCCTCAGCTTCTGCGTATGCTGGCGTGGGTTGCATCCCATCCCCTGGAAGCAGTTGCTGCCCTTACTACTGATGATGTCGCAGATGGTCAAAGTCCCATCTCTCCACCACACAATGTTGACCTGTGTCTCATCTAACTTCTGATTTCAAACGTACTGTCCATGTCTCTGTCCTTTGTACGTTTTTACCCCAGAACAGATTATAGCCCAGGCATCTCTCTCTTCGATCTGGCCTACCCAAATGTCTTCCTTTTTATATTTAGGTAACTCTGTTATTTTTGCAAATCTTCTTTCTTTCTTGGCTAGACTACCTAGACTTACCTTACTCTTCAGATGCTCTAGGTGCCCCTCTAGGGTCAGGTTTGGATGTGTCAGGCACGGTGTGTCAGTTTCCGCCATGCATGGTGTCTTGCATTAGTAAAGTTTGGAAGTTAAGTAAAATAAGTTGGTTGGTTGGTTGGTTTCACGCGGGACATTAACAGCGACGTCCTGGGTGAAAGTTAGTGTTTGTTTGACCCATCCAACCCTCCTAACTGCCCTACTTTCCCCTCTTAATTTACATCAGTTGTGTTAACTGACAAATGAAGACACGGACTGGTTTACATTTGAGTTAGTCAAGTTACTTCGAGGCACCCTTTAGTGTCTGTATCAGACGCCGAGGGGCACTGACCAACTGGTAGTATTTGATGACTTGGGAGTGAGAACGAGTTGGTTTGTACTGTATTCAAAACATACCACTGTGAGAAGCTGTGGGTACTGATGGCACTGCTCAATCCCTTGTCTTGAAACTGAGGGAGTTCAGAATGGGTTGTTTAAATGGTGCAATTTGATCATATAAAAACAATGAAGTGTACCATCTTTGTGCCTCACTTAATAGCATATCCAATTGCAAAACATCTTGTTTTTTACATAATATTCTCTCTTAAAAATAAAATCTGAACACCTCACAATGATCTATATTGCCAAATAGTCCTGACCAAGCTTTGGATCATGATTTTGTCCTATGATTGTCCATTACAGTTTACTGAAAATTAGCCGAATAAACCTTTTGTCTGTTCCCACCCTTAGATGTTGGAGAGGAAGGCTTGACTGCAAACTCACTGGTTCAAGTCATCACACAGTCTTGGAAAATATGAACAGGGAAAATGAAGAAGAAACACATAAACCACCAAGATGCCCTCGAGCAAAGTATTTATCCCGAAACTGCTCCATTAGAGCTGCTCAGTGGCCAACGGTAGAAGACTGGTTTCACTGGCAGCTCCAACAGGGAATGTGTGTGTGTGTGTGTGTGTGTGTGTGTGTGTGTGTGTGTGTGTGTTAAAGTCAAGAGGCACACTGCTGAGAAAAAAGCATGGAGGAATGACTAAGCTTGAGAGCATTACATTATTTTGTTACTTTGTATCCACAAGGTGAGCAGGGCACACTGGACTTTTTATTTATCTCAGATTATGGTTTTATTATACAGACTTACATTTCCCTACAAAGTGCGTCAAAGATGGCCCTGACGTAAGAAGCCAGGAGGTGGGTACAAATCCAATAATTTCAAAATAAGTCAGAGTAATGGTCAGAAAATGACACTATGGCTTTTATTTGCTGAGTCCAGAGAACAAGATCTCATCATTTTAAGAGGCCCATATTATTTCATAAATCGATCCCTGTAATACCTTCCAAGTTTGTATCAGCAATCTTGACCCCCCCCCCCACCATTTGGAAAACAATGAGGGGGTTGAGTAGAGTCAGTTTTTGGTATTTGCATTGGAAGTGAGAGCTATCCAGATGCATGCAGCATGCCCTAACAGTTCATAATACATGTTTCCACTGAAGTGGAACCATGGTCTGCCAGAGTTTCCTGTCAATTAACATGACCTGCTCCTCTATAAGGGGGTCCTAAACTGACACACACATATCAATGCACTCAACTAAGTTAGCTTTTTTCACTCACCAAAGTTCTTTGTCCAGATAAAATAAGTTGAGTAAACGAGACAAACCTGACTAACAGTTAGAGATAAACAGTGACAGACATAAAGGGGAGCAAAAAAGACAAATGGCAAATACATTGACTTCTAATCTGTATTATACTATCTGTTATGACATGATTTATAGTGGTGACTGGCACATAGCAGAGTGAGTCACCCACACCATCTGCCCCTTCCTACCTCACCTCTGCCAGCATGCCTGTTTCTAGCTGTCTGTACCCTCTCCCCGCTCGCTGGTGCCCACTCTTCATCAGCACTCCTCCCAGGGGTGATCGATGTCCTGTCCATACTTCCCAATGACTAAAGCCAGGTTCTTCCAGACCACCTCATTTCTCCAATATTATTCAATTCTTTCCTATCACCCTTCCGCTGACTCACCCCATCGCCTTGTCACAACCATGACCACTTCGCTAGCCCTCCGGCACAATGGTCAGCACCATATATGGCGCTTGATAAATTGCCTACGTCATCTTCTCCCATCTTCAGTCTAAGCTCTTCCTTCTCTTCTCTATCCAGACCAAAACTTTACCCTAATTTCCTCCAATTGTAACTTTAACAACTTGTCTTAACTTCTGTAACTGCTTAGCAGATACTCTGATACTATTTATTTGAACACTGTGGACAACGTGATATTCCGCCTATTTGCAGTAAAAACATGCAATAGAATCTTGAGAAAAATTCAGCTCGTCCCACGGCTATTACATGGTCTGATACAATTAGACCATTTAGAGCCTTTTCCACATCTGTGAACAGTGGAGGGAAACCCGAATGGACACGGAAGAAGAGACTCCACACAGACCACACAGAAATGATTCTCCTCCTTAGTACTTGTATGTGTATGTGTGATTTGTATGTTTGAATGGGTGAGAGTGTGCATGGTTTTGGCATGGAAAAGAATATTCCAAACACAGTAAAAAAACATGTCTTTATAAACTGTTTGGTGAATAACAATGTATTATTAATGGGTATGGTCCTTAACATTTGTGTTCTAAGATATAAATGGGCCAGTGTGCATACATGTTAAGTAAATTGAGTGAATAATGTTGCCAGAAGTTCCTTTTTTTGCACTGGTGCAATGGCGTGGAGCAGCCTTTTGCTACGGATTATGGTCTTTAAATATGAGAGGGTTTTATAGAAGTTAGGTTAGGGCTTTTCTTTGGAATAGACTAACTATTTTATACTGACATTTTACAAAATGTTAATTTAACTGTGGGAATTATTTTGTATTTCTCATAAATTGTGGTGGCATGTTTTTGGATTTCAGGATTTTTGTTGTTGTTGAATGCCTTGTGCTTCGTTGTATCTCTTTGTCTTCTAACATCTTGGGACCATGTTAGAAATAAGTGTTTTCACATTAACACATTTTTGTTTCTTTGTCTGATTAAAATCCATGAAAAAAATGTATCAAACCACCAATCAATCAACTAACCAACCAACCACCCAATCAATAAATCAAGCAAACAGACAAGCTCACGTCATATCACAGTGTTTGAATCACACATTTACAACAAGTACATCACTTAAGCTTGGAATTGAGTTTTTCTACCTGTGTAGACCTCTGCCTCCGAGGGATCCTCAACTCGTTTATGCTGGATGATGTAGTCAGAAACTTTGCAGCCAATCAGAGGCTCCACATCCATCCACTCCAGGGCCACCATTGTGCTTGAGGGCTCCAAGTAAGGGGCTAGGCGTACACTAATGGAGCAACATAGAAAGGACAAGGTTAAGACAACAGTTTATTGCCCTCATCTGGAATTTCAAATCATACTGTGTGTGTGTGTAATACCTGAAATATGGGCATAAACCTAAAATGGATAAGTAAGAATCCCATGTGGTCAATGTTGTATTAGAGTACAGACTGTCACACCTCTGCCCATACAGTATGTCATTGGACAACAGGATGGCAAAAAAACAGCATTCCCTCTTTAATCCCTCAAAAGAGATAAAATAACTATAGTATCATTTTGCCTGCCCTCCAGCTGTGTCGTGCCCTCCAGCAGGCATGGGCACAGGGAAAGTATGACCAAAACTTTGGTTGTGGCACCTGGCCCTGTCCTCTCCAATTCCACAACCACAACCCCAATCCACAAACAAATCAATACCAAAACCAACGTAATAGCGTCTAAAACTACTTGTGCAATACTTGCGCAATATGTTTTTGGTAAAGTATTGCGAGTTAAGAGCAATCTCCCCACAAGGTCAATGTAATGACATGTTCTGGAGTTTATCAACAGACAATTGTTTCAATGTTTGGAAAATTGTAGATGTTCAAAATTCCTGTTTTATCTATTAGCTTAGAAGCTGAGGTTCAATGTTTGTGGAAACAGTATGTATTGTAACGGTGAATAGTGTTGAAGTGGGAGGATATTTTGACATAGTGGCCACAGTTGGTATTGCAAGATACAGATCTACAGATATACAGATCTTTTCTGATTAATTCCTTCTAAATATATTTAAAACTATTCGGTTTAACATTTGGTTATAATTGATAATGTGTGGAGGATCTTTACGGAAAAAAAAAATCACATTAACTGCAAATGCCATTAGGTGATGGACCAGAATCCTCTGTTGCAGCTACACTACATTTTATCCATGTTGAGCTTTTATTATTATTCTAAAATGGAGTCAATAGATGTTGGACCTAATTCACTTTTGAAAGTAATATACTAATGGGAATATTTTCTTTTCATTCTTGATTGGCTTTCATTGTAAACTTATCATCTAAATGATTGCCCTTTCAACTTCCTGTTTCTCTTTCAAAGTTCTCAGGGCAACAATGGCTAGGGTGGGTGACTCAAGAGAATTATTAGGACACCTTGAATGAGAGCATGTTCTTTTCAGAGAAGTGTAAGGGCCGACTGACAGCTATTAGAACTTTGGGGACTGTGCTCGTGTCTACAACTCAAGTGCCCCAGGAGTCAGTGGAGACAGGTATGTGTGTGCTTGTCCATGTGTATATGTGAGGGTGCATCAGTGCATGCATCCATGAAATCTCTCTTGTGCATGAATTCCTAGGTGTCATGGCATCACCTCACACTTACATTGGCTGCCTGAGGGGACTGCAGATAGGCAGGCCATCTTTGCTGAAGGCACTCAGGTCACAGCGACACCAGTTATCAATGACATCGCCCTTTCCAGCACACCAGTATGAGCTCATTGTGGCGCTCTTGAAGGCCTGTAAAGGGTAACAGGTGAAAGAAATGCAATTATCTCTTGAAACATAAGCTCCCCATCCATCTATGCTTACCCAACCCCCATCTCCCATCCAAACCACCCTCATATATCCCAGCACACACACACATACACACATCCTTCTATTTATGTCCATACGATGACTCTCCATTGACTATATTCATTTTCTTTTCCCCATCTCCTAAGTTAAACATTAACATATCAAACCTCAGTCTTACCACGATGAAGTGAGGACTGTCCAAAATGTCCTCACTTTGCAAAAATGCCCTCTCTCTGATTGTCTAAAACTAAAGAAAGGTCTCACAAAGACAGACATGCACACACCCACACACAGTGACCTTTTCATTCCCAATTACCATAAGGCAGGAAGATCTCACTAACATCGACAAGCTTACACTATATGATATCATAGAGTAACTGTGACTTTTATGATGGAGGTGTGAAAGCTGTGCCAATCGTATGTTTCTGTGTGGATCTGTCAGTGTCAGTGTCGATGTTGATGTCGGTCTGTCTGTGAAGGGGATGGGAGGGGGTGGGTGTTAGGAGATGACATCATCTCCTAGCATCTCCTTGTGCTGCTTCATTAACGGGCAAATGAAAAATCAAAAGGCAGAAGCTCAGTCATCCTCTAAAAGGCAGCAAAATGCCAATATAGCCGTCAAAGCAATAAAGTATAATGTCAGGGCTTTCTTAAAGCCACAGGCATGATAGACAGTGAGTTCAAGGGAGTTTGCAAGCACTGTGGTTCCCCGTGTCACACTATGGATCAATGGAGCACTCAGTTATTTATGTGCTCTAACTGGTTGCCAGTGCTGCCTCGTGAAGACAACTTTAGAGATGTGCTTGATCATGATCACAAAAATAGGACACTGGAATCATGCAGAAACATTATCACTCTGTACCAGGCATCCAACCAAAAGCTCAGAAAAGCAACTCCTTTGTTCCAATACACCATGACATTCACTTATCCAAAAGCAAAGGAACCGATGAGACCACACACATCTGTAAGACAACTGCGAACACGCACGTGGGGACATGCAAACATGCACAAAAACAGACAGATGTATGCAGCGTGTTGATTAGTGACAGTGACATTTGAGATGGTTATAGTTCTAACCAGAAAGACAGACAGCTTGACCAAAAAAAGAGTCTGGGTATGCACTCAGAAGCTGATGTTAGCATTTCACTGGATTGTTGGCTGTAAAGGAGACTCAACAGTTTTTCATGGGAACTGACTTCTGCCAATACCACTTGCTTTCACTCAAAGGCAAAGGATCTTGAGGGTGAAAGTGACCTTAATGAGCAGCAGATTAAGATAGAGAGGCTGGAGAGACCAAAGGAAAAAGGACGGCAAAATATCAACAAAATAAACAAGGGAACGAAGGTGTGAAAAAGGGAGACTCCCAACTCTCAAAGCATTCCCCACCTTACTGTGGGACAGGATCAGGATCCTTTAGCAGTGAAGGCTTTCCTATTATTTATCCTCCAATAGAAGCCCCTCTAAATGAGCTTGCTGAATGAGCAGTTATTATAGGGAGTAGGCAAGCACTGTAATCCATGGCCATATAATAACCCCCCAGAAAACAAAAAAGGGGAAAAAGGTAATTACATTTCTCCCCCCTTGCCTGAACCCATGTGGCTAACTGCTGCCAGAAAACAACAGCAGCAGGGGTCTTCCCACCTCATGTCAATGGGAAGCAGGCCACAGACAAAGGCAACAAGAAAAACCTGGACTCAAGGTCTATGCACGCAGACAGACTAGACAAATATGAGAAATGAGAAATGACCTCCGCTGCTCGGGGCAAAAGACAGAAAGACCACAGGACCGCCATGCGTATACCACCACCAGATTCCTAGGAAAACCCCCATATGGGTCTGCGCACTTGATTGCATGGCTGCACATGTGAAAAATAGACAAAGCGATTACTGCCGTGTTTATGTTTGAAGAGTAATGCAAGCCAGTCTCCACTGGGTAAACAGGGAATCTAATTGTGGTTTAGAGAATGGGGTGGGGTGGGGTGGGGTGGGGGGGTTGGGTGGGGGGCACAGGAGGTAAAGCAGAGATGAGGATTTAGAGAAAAGCAAAGAAAAAAGGACTGGTAATACATATAAAGGTATGATATGTCAAGCGTGTGTCTGTGAAGACAACCATATATCTTGCTTGCGTTAGTAAGGAAAATCCTTTAGTGAGATGAACAGACACATTGAAAGGCCCAGGAGAGAGTACTTCTGTGTTCAAAGCAGAGATGAGTCAAAGCTGAAAAGGGGAGGATACCTTATACTCTATTGATTAACCATATTTCCTGCATTTCCAAGAACACTAAAGATCCTGATACATTATGTGCTCGCCAGATAGGGGTAATAAACACACCTTATACATTATGCTTCATATTAAGCAAGTATTTTGATAAAGATGGTCCTATCTGACTGTAACAGTGTAATACATTTTTTGAGCAGCCATAACAGATTTTCTTTCAGGAACCGGCAGTCCCCCGATGACTACAACAACACATGGTTCTACCATTTCACAAATATGCCACGATTCATCTCCATTGACCTTATCGATACTAAACAAATTGAGCTGAAATGTAATCACCCCCTGCCAACAGAGGACAGGATCAGAACAGCAAGGCTACTGAGCGTCAGCAACAACTCCGGCCACAAATTCCAAGCCTTGACATCGTCTAAACCCAGCAGACTCACTGGCACCAAAATACTATTTGGACCTTCCACTTTCGTAGAAGCCTGTCGTGACTTACAAGAAGGCAAGGAAGGCCATTGTGACCTCTTTAATGTATTAGTCTGTTTGTCTAGTTTAAGCTGACCATATCACTGTCCATTTGCAGAGGCTAATACATGAAAACATTGGCCAGCTGGCCCACAGTATTGATTTATAAGATGATCACCAGTGGTGGTAAAGAGTCTAAGTCAGCACACACAGGACACCATCATTGGTGACCTAAGTGTGTGTGTGTGTGTGTGTGTGAGCGTGCGCACACGTGAATTCGTTTATGTAGCATTTCCAATCATTCAGGGCTAATGGTGTTAACAATGGAACCATTGGGCTGCTTCAAGGAAGCTTATCAGAAGTAGTACTTCCAGGAAATTGGACACTGGGGGCGGCTGGCGGGTTGGTTCACCCAGAGGTTGAGAGGGGATTGCCATGTCACTGGCGGACCCTCAAACAGCAGGTATTGCTTTACAGAGTGCCAAAGCTAATCTTACCATTCCAGCAAAGAAACATGACTTGTTTGTTAGCGTGTTCTCTTATTGTGTGTTACAAAATAACAACCTAAGCCAACAATAATAAAAAAGACAACAGAGAAGGGGAGTATGAAAATGTAATGTCAGTGTACACAAACAAAAGGAGTAAGTCTGCTGGACACTCACCTCTTTATTATTAATCAAATAATTATCAATACGCCTTCATCGTCAGGTGGCTTTTTTGGTTAGGTCTGTCTTTGTGTGAACTACTGCTGATGTAATTAATGCTTTATGGACCAAATGTTGACTACAACGTAGACTCAGTTGCCAGTTTATTATGTGCACCTAGCTAAAAGTAATGCAGTCTAATACAACAACAATACAACAACAACAATAATGTTGTGTAATCCCCCCCCATTCATGTCAACAAGGGTAGACTAAAAAACAGAAATACCTGTCTGTATAATATACAGTTCAACTACACCACAAAGTACAGTCTCCACAATTACCGTAAAGTTGAAGCAACATTTCAACAAAAAAGGTAGAACCCTCATAAGGGATTATTTCGCAGTGCTGTTGTATTAGGCTGCAATAGTTCTAGCTAGGTGTACTAAACTGGTAATCCAGTGTAGTATGTAGTGGCCATAGAGAGTTTATAAGAACCTGTTTAGTTATTATCTGTTTGAGCGTGCGCTCTCCTTGGTACTGAAGTGATGTTCTTGGGATCAAAACTTGCATTTCTTTTGTGTGCATTCGATTTAGGAGACCATCTGGATCACCCATTAAAAACATACCTAACCTCTTTTTCTGTATAATGCTCCTACTGCTTTCATTTTGGTGAAAATATGTTATTGCTCTTTTACTTCTGTGCCCCCTCCTGCCCCCACTGAGAATGTTCTAGACACAACCCTGCGAGGGGCTGCAGTGGTGCGTTACGGTGACAGCATGACAGCGGCCACTCTGCAAGATATAAAGCATTCTGACCCATTAGACTCACAACCAATTTGTTCAAAAGGTTTGCCATAATTCAGTCACAGCATCACAGGACATAGGACCACTGGCAAGCTCCCCAGGCGTTAGCTTATTTATTTATCCACTGAGGTATTTTTCTCTGGCACTTAAACAGGGCAGTGTCTGTGTGCGTGTGTGTATTTGCGTGCACACCCCATGCCTGTAAGCAAGACCACCTTAGTCGAGTCCAAGACAATTCCAAGACCAGGTTTAAAGCAAGTCAAGCCCAAGAAACTTGAGAGGTATTCAATACCAAGACAATGAAGGAATAAACCTCAAACCTTTCCTTCCAAATGAAAAGTATAATCAGTTTGTTTATTACAGATGAAGTGTCAACAAATGTAAAAGGGAAAATAAATCTCACATGCCCCCACTTATTTAGCCATGCCGATATGTTTGCATTTATTTGCTATGATTTTGGGATAAAAATGCAATACATAAATATACAATGGTGGGGAAGGCGTTTTTTATATGTGGTTTTAGCGGAACAAAAACACAAACATCACAATTAAAATCTTAAAACATCAGAAAATAGTGTCCTCATATACTCTGCAGAATCCACAGACTTTACTGTAAGAAGTTTTCACGTCAAGTTCTTCCCACCGAAGAAACCTGCAGCAACTGTTGGACAGTGAGGCCTGTGGATAATCCAGAAGAGGCATTGTCTGTTTTAGTGCTACCATCTCCATAGAGGCAAATATATCAGGGATGGACATATTATAATCTGGACATGTCAAAATAAAACTACCAGCATGGATAGATTTTCTCCATTTGGGTAAACCAACCCTTTAACGTTTTTGGAAATACTTTCATCCTACAGCAAAAAAACCTGTATGTACTAGCCATTGATAATGTCAGTACTGGCCAAATGTACAAAGAAATACTTTATTCCCTATTTTCCTATTTGACAAAGCCGCAAGAAGCAAGCTATTTCTACAGTATAATTCTGTTTCTTTCGAGTCGTGTTTTTTTCAATGAAACAAAATCCCCCTCTGGCTTAATAATGAGGAGATTGATGTGAAAGGGACATGACATGTCCTGTCAAACAGTCAGGGAGCGGCCACTGAAAGATGCAGGTAGGAGAGAAAGGAGGGAGGAAGGGGGCCAAAGGAGAGTGACAGGTCTATGTAAACCCGGTATTGGGTACATTGAATCATAAGATAGACAACTAAGCCTCTATTTTGATGGATTCAGGGGGTTTAAGGTAAAAAAATGATATATACATATATATATACTGTATATATATAAAAACATGTCTCAGAAAGCTTTTTCAACATGGCAGCTGTCTTCCCAGATATACCCAGTCAAGTAGAAAGATAGTCTGAAGCACAGAGACAGAGACAGAGAGAGAGAGAGAGACAGACCAGGTGTGTGTGTGTGTGTGTGGAGGGGCAGGCTGTTTTGTCCTCCGTTTCTAATGCAATATAGCTATTTGCCTTTCAGACTAGCAGCATCAGTTGACGCCAAGAGAAGAAAAGAAAGAGAGGAAAAGAGGAGCAGAGTGATGGACTCCCCTCCCTCCCCAGAGGTCGATGACATCAATAAGGAGCTAATATACCTGCCTCAAGCTAGCACAGAAGGGCTTGCCAGAGCGATCCACTGCAGTCTAGCCCTTCTCCTCCTCCTCATACATCTCACTCTCTACATCCCCAGAAGACCACGTGTTGGGTATGGGGAGAAAGAAGGATGGATAGCGAGGTGTTTGGAAGAGAGGGAAAAGAGACATTTTGCTCTTCCTCACGTGTAGCTATTGATGAGGCCCAGTAGGGATCGTCTGATATTGATTGTGCCTTCTTTTCTTTGGGGCTGCGGTGCTTGTCATTGGCGGCACGTACAGGGGGCTTTTGCTGTGTGTATGTGTGTGTTGCCTCTGATTGCATATATATGCATATATATATATATACATATATATGCACAACAACGTTGTTGCCTGGTAATTTCTGAAGGTAAGGTAATTAGATTCTTGAATGGGGGAGCGTGAACCAGTCTGCTCTCTATGGCTTGTGCATGCGTGTGTTTTGGGCGTGAGTCACCTGCAAACAGTTCTGTTCTGACATACCGGATGTCACGTCAAGAGGAAACCGAAAATGAGCAAAACGTCAAGTGAAGCCAGAGCCCCCTCCTAAATTACCTTATGGAAAAGACTTCTCTTATGATTAAATTTCATTGCACAAAGATCCAACAACTTTTCATACAGGGTGAATCACAAACACAGCATGACCATGAGGCTGATATTTTATATATATATATATATATATATATATATATATATATATATATATATCACACATTGACTTCCCCACAAAAGGAGAAAACCATGATGTAATCTTTTTATGCCCTCTGTATTACAGTGCTCAATTCCAGTGGTCAAAGTTAACCAACTAATGCCACCTAGAGGTGATTTGTTACAATTGCCTCAGTTAAAATGCTTCAGAGGACAATGGATATGTACAGTCCGAAAGGATTACGCCACCATGAGATCGTATATTAGAAAACACATATTAAGCAATTAACATATGCTTCCTACACTTGCAGAACAGATGATACCTTTTGTCACAGGGCAGCATAATATACATGTTAATTTGCCTTACATTTACCATAAACTTATGTTTGCGGGAGTGAAAGTACCCGTATAACCACATCCCAACCAATTGTAATTGGTCTAATAGTGAATTGACACAGTTTATATCCATATAATGAATAATTCCTGAATATGGATGTTTTTAATATTTTTGCTTGTTTTCTTCCAAATCCAGTAGATATGTGTGACTTAATTCTCTTTCTAGTTTTATGGTCACTCTCCCAGCCTCTCCCTCCCCTTCTACAAACACATCCGCATGCAAACAAGCAAACACACACACACACCATCTTCCTACCCCCATGCTGATTTCTCACCTCTTTGGTGATGTTGTCCTGGACCAGGCTGTAGAGGGGCACCACGCGGCTGACTTCCAATAGCACAGGGATGGGGGAAGGCTGCTCTCCATTCCTGCTGTTACCAGTGCGGCCTCTTCCTGACACTCCTCCCATCATAGCCTGGTGATGGCACAGGTGGCAGCCAGCTGGACAGCTGCCTTTCTCCTCGCAGCGGATCTCCACGCCATTCACCATGTCGTCAGACAACAGCTGGCTCTTCTGCAGTGCCGACAGGTAGCTGATGAAGGGAACCGACTTCAGCTCACGCCGCCCACTTCCACCAACCCCCTGGTCTGTTGCCTCTGGAGGGGTAGTCGGAAGAGGAAAGGAGCGTAATGGTATGATGTGGTGCAGATAAAGAAAAACAAAGTTAACATCATTCATTATTAACAATCATTTTATGGCATCTCCTTCACTTTTATGTGTATTCATTCAAAATGATAAAACTAAAACTCCCTTCCCCAAATTTCTCTCATCTCTAGTTCCGTAAAACATTTCCTGAATCTCCACTTGGAGTAGCAGAGAACATTCACAGTCGCTCAGTTGCATAAAGCATCCACATCTGGATTTACTTTTGCTTGCTGCCAAGGAAAAGAAGAAAAAACAACAACTAATCCCTTACTGTCATCAGCTTTCACAGACATAGGATGAATGGGAGGGAAAGGGAGTAAGGGTGTCACTGGCTTCTTCTCCTGAGTGTCAATTACCACTCTTTGATGTTCTCACTAGTTGGGGGGATTCTTCATCATCATTTCCTCTTTCAGTGACAACAACAGAAGAGGCGATGACAGAAGCAGGCAAGGAGTAGAAACAGGAGAGAATGCTACTTGGGTGTCGAGTGTTTCACTTGCAGGATACATCAGGCCACATGTTACAGTGGAGCCATGTTGTTCGCAATCTGTGCTGATATGGCACATGAGCATTTGTGTCTGTTTGATTTACAAGAACAGACATATGAGAGTTTTCCAAATGAGTGATATGGTGTTCTTTCTAGTGGCAAAAGGAGGTATTCAAGTAGGAATTAGCGGCTTTTGATATTGCTTTGAGACATGATTTTATCATCAGTCAGCACATACACCAATGCATAATAAATGTATATCTGCAAATGTATGATTTCTCTAATCAAACCACTGATTTATGAGTTAAAAACACTGACTATGTTTAATACTTAAATGTATGTTGTCATGAGTAACCTACACCCTGTGCAGATTAATGAAGCTTTTTTTGTCCTAATGAAAGAACAACATCAGGCCGACATGAGAGTTTAAACACATAAATGTACAAATGTTTAAGTTTTAATCACAACCCCATTCACATATAAACAGAGACACACGGGTGGATGGAGGAAACTACCAATGCATACATTACATAAGCGCACATGTGCACCCACACAAAACAGAAGGCGGCCCAAAGCAGAAGGAAGTCGGTAAGAGAGCAGGAAAAACCGTTGACATTATTCAAGGTGGAGTAATTGGGCCCAATTAGGGTTAATATTTTTAATTACCTTTACTTCCCATTTTAATGACAGTGAAATCGAAAATCCTTGAAACTATTGTCAGTGGGAAAAAACACAACATGCAGTGCATGAACCCAAACGTGTTTGTGTGAGAGACAGAAACAGGTCTAAATGTGTCTGCATGTGTAATTTAACTTGGACTCCTGTAATATCAACGTTAAATAAGCTAACCCAAGACATGAAAAGGGTGTGTTAACCTTCAACTATTCATTTCTCAAACACAAACAGATGCCGACACATGTGATTTACCAGCAGGCATGTAACAGCTTTGAGGAAAACAGTGTGGGGACTTTTTTTAAAGACTATTTTCTGTCTAATTTTGCAGGACAAAATCAGTCAGTGTATCAAGTTGATAGTTAAAGCATGAAAAAAATATTTAATCAAAATATATCTGAAATGAGTTTTCAATTTCAGAACAAAGTAATAAAAACCAAAAGATCTTGCAACAAGTTTTGTTTTCTCTACCGTTGATGATGCAAAAGGTAACAAGCAAAACCCATGTGATCACAGAGCATGCACTACTTCAATAAGTCTGTTATGTTGTATTATTTAAAAGCCTAATAATAAAATAGGCAAAAATGACTTAACGTTAATAATTAACTTGTGCATACAAAGTCGCTAAATCATTTCTATGCTTTAGCAAATTAATGTATTGTCCACTCTAATGGATAAAAAAAAAGATAAAAATAAAGTTGCTTTTTACTTAACACAACTGACATTTTGGCTATCTGAACAACAACAACAACAACTTACTATTAAAAGTGCCTAATACTGCCTACACATGCAGCATTAGAAGTCGACCCAAAAGAAAGAAATGATTGTACAGCTAATAGGCTCGACAAAACAACCAAGCTGTAGCAGCAATTCAGAATAAATAATTGACTGTAGACAATGGGTGTGTGTGTGTGTGTGTGTGTGTGGGGGGGGGTAATCTGGTGAGATTAACACAATTCCAAATCCAAGGACATGACATGTCCTCAATTGTGGCTCTGACCCTGGTGTGTGTGTGTGTGAGAGAGAGAGAGAGAGAGAGAGAGAACTCTAGAGAGTCTCTACATACATGTATGTCTTTGCAGCCTACCCCGTGTGTGCATCTGTAAAACACTGGCAAGCAGTTGAAAGGGTGGGTGGTAACTTCATGTGCAACAGTATGTAAACAGACTCAAGGGGTGGCCCAAGAGCCCAATTACATGCACTTCTTGAGGCAACACAGACACAGAAAAGAGCTGTCATCACCCAGCTCTCACAATAAAGCCCTGTAGATCAGGTTGGCTTTGGCTAGTCAGCCTAATTCACTCTCGCCCCCTTTAACTCAATACAGTTGTTTACATCTATGTAAACAAATGCATCTGATGAAAGAACTGGCACTGTCAAGTATTGGCGGAGATAATAGCCAGGAGAATATATAGCCACGGTACTGTGATTGTCATAATTAGCTGACAATAGCGTGCAGTGTATTTCTACCTTTATAATTTTGTTGTCTCCTAATATTGTATCTTTTATTAGACTTTCTTTGTTGACTTGTTTTGAGACTATTAGCAAACTGCTGTAACAATTTCAATCTGGTATCACTGAAGTATTTTGTGCGCGTCTCTATTTCTTCGTGTGAGGGTGAATTAAATAGGACAGCATGTATTTTGGTGCAGTTAAAGGAGTGGCCCGTCATTCGTCCATCACTTCTCTTTGCTGTGCGGAATGAATTTGATTCTCACTTGCCTGTCACCAAACATAGTGGAGAGATAAATGAGTGAATTTCCTTGCCATTGATCTTGCACCGCCTTCGTTAATTAAAATGTCTTTGTAGACTGGTTGCAGCATAATTACTCATGAGGGACACATCCGTTCTGGCCAGGGTTATGTTGCCCAGGCAACAACAGCAAAGGTGTCAGATATCTTCCATAGCTATTTAATACAGCTGTTGTTAGATGTGGTTACTGTTGTCATTGTTGTGTTTGCTTTATTAAAACAGCTGCTAGCGCTACATCTACCACAGTCTTCTGATCTTAACAGATCTACAGTAGCTCATATTTCCTATTCATTTTACACAGCCTTGCACAATATTGGTATAACAAGTGACACATGCTAATAAAATGCAGATCTGTGTGAGCTGTGTCTTGTCTGCAAAGTAACAATTAAAATGAGTTATAGCTTGCAATATAAACTAGTTTAGCAGCAGTTATTCTACAAGGGTCTGTTGAGCAGTTTAACAGCCCAGAATACAATACATTACATTCATTAAATGCGTTAAATGACAATCAAATTGCATTTTCCACATTTCTTTAGACCCTATTTGCTGTGCTTGACAAACAAAAAATCTGTTTCTGATGTGGTTCTAATTTCCAGATTTACTCTACACCACTTTGTTGACAAGGGTGTTGAACAGACTTCTTCTTGAAGACTTCTTCTGACATCTAGTGGTCTGTTACTATAATTACTGACTTGTGACTAAAAACTGAAATATGTCACCAGACCTTGACTATTTCAAATGCACGTATAGTCTATGAGCAGTAGCTTACTTCAGGTTCTCTGTGAGACTTATTTTCTCAGTTACAGGTCTGTTTACTTGTTCACTCAAGTTACGTAATCATATGTGTGTGTTCTTTTAAGGATGGCCTGGTACAATAACAAAGTATGTATTCCTGCTGAAAACTAAAAGGGCCCCTGTCATTTCAGGATAAATTGCATGCAAAGTTATTCTGTATATATAATATTTTAGTTATTGTGGATTTTTTTGCTTTTTACTTAATTTATAATACTTGTTTTGATCTTGTTTTTTTACTATGTTTGCACTATACTGTATGCTGCTGTAATCCTGTACATTTCCCCACTGTGGGACTAATATAGGATTATCTTATTTTATTCTAAATCAGTACATTTTACAATTTGACTAGGCACTGGGCATGACAATAATAATAATAATAATAAAACTATATTTAAATCCAATTTAAATTAAAACTTTGCCTGACAATCTTTTTTTGCCCTTTGTTGTATTGAATATGGGAATGTTGTGAATAAGGCAAATAAAAGGTAATACGGTCAAATTGGAAGTCAAACAAGAAGTCAAAAAAATCCCAAGAACTGCATTGTCCTCTGATCAGGAACGTGGAATCAGGCACTAGGACCCTGGTGAGTCCTTGTGCAAGCCCACACAGCAGCCAATCAAAACCGTCAAACTCACAGCTGTGCGTATTACGTAGCAAGCGTACGTCACGTCGTCATCACTGCAGTTCCTCACTACCAGCTGCAATAGCAGCAGAACCACAGCACGCGCATCAAAACCTCTGAACTTCGAAACAGCTAACGTTTGAGGAAAAAGGTAACGTTTTAAGGTCGAAATGTGCAGAGAGAAGCAGTACAGTGAGCTGCAGGTCTTATTTTCAAAAGGCCCGTGCATCACAATCAGCCCCGTGATAACGTTGAATAACACTGTCGCGTTGTGTCATAGGACAGCGTTCACGTTTGTTGTGTTGTCGAGAGGCCTCCGACTTGCTTTGCCTAAAATGAGGGAATTCTCAATGTAATTGGTTCGTAAGTCTGGACTGAAAGGTCAAGCTATTTTTAAACATTAAGAGAGCACAGTCTAGATATAGCCTACTTATTGCTTGCTTACTACATTGCTTGTAATCATGGCGTGGACCGATCGCGTGTCAATGATAAATATCAACAGATCAACAATCAGATTACTTGCCACGAGCGCATGGTTGTGGAAGCTTTCCTGTTTAACTGGTGCTCACCCGACATGTAACATTCGCCACATGTTTAACGGTATGTCAGCTAAACTGCGACAACTAGCTACTTTGAAACTGGCCCCATACTTATTAACCTGCAAAGTAGCCCACTAACATTAGGTTAGTGACAATGTGTTACACTGTATCATTTATTGTTACAGTGTTGCGTCAGATGAGTCACTTACTTACTTACACACACTTACTTTTGTGATTTGAGTATCAATGTACTGCTGCATGCCTGAACAACTGCGATGGATCAGAAATGTAACATAATACATAATTTGTGGCGACATGTTTTTTTGTTTACTCTTTGTAGAATTTTACACAGAATGGTAAACTATTACAAAAACTCCTTTCTTGTTTATTCCAACTCAAGGAAGGGACCATAATGGAGGCGGCATATTCCCCGCTGGACCCGGATTTAATGAGGGAGGTTCTCGAGTGCCCTATATGCCTGGAGACCTACAACCAGGATCAAATGAGACCCAAACTCCTGCAGTGTGGTCACACAGTGTGCCGGCAGTGTCTAGAAAAGCTGTTGGCTAACACTATAAACGGTGTGCGCTGCCCCTTCTGTAGCAGGGTGTCCCGTATGAGCAGTATCTCCCAGCTGGCCGATAATCTCACTGTGCTCAAGATCCTGGATTGCACCACGTCCTGCAGTGCTGCTGCTGCCGCCCTGATGTGCAAGTCCTGCTGCAACCGCCTACCACGACAGTACTGTCACGACTGCGCCACAGTCCTCTGTGAGCTTTGTAAAGGGGAGGGCCACCTGCTGCAAGGCCATTCGGTCCAGCCGATTCGGGTGGCTGCAGAACAGCGTCGTAAAGAACTGGGTGGCAAGCTGGCTTCTCTGCGGGACGTCATGGGCGAAATTCAGAAGAAAAAGACGGCTATTGAAAACATTTCAAAGTCCTTGAGACTTAAGTACCGGGCGGTGCAGCAGGACTATGCTTCGGCTGAGCTACGTCTTCAAGAGGAACTCAGCAGGTCTCGGAGGACATTCACTTCTTCCATGACGGAAGTCGAAAAGCTAAACGGGCAGGTCCTGGAAGAGCAGACGTATCTCCTGAACATCGCAGAGGTAAAAGTCGTGTCACGTTGCGATTACCTGACCATGCTGGTGAGGCAGAGCGACATCGCTTTGCTCAAGGATGATGGCGAAGGCAGTGATGATGAAGAGCTGGATTTGAGGAGTAGCTTGCCCACGATGTTTCAGCTGCAGGAGCCGGGGCTGGTCAGAACAGAGCACTTGAAACCTGTGGAAGTGGGCGAAGTGACCACCAACACTTACACCGTTGATACAGAGGATGAGGAGAGTGGGTTGGAAATCGCACTTGAGGGTGACGTAATGAGTGTAGCTGGGGCAATGGGAGCTAACGGTGGCAGAAGGGGGACTCCTGTGGATCTTTACCGAGACATTGACATGGTTGCAGCTGCAGAGGAGGCGGTGTGTGGTTCACCGGGCAGCTTTAAGTCAAAGTCCATGGATGCAGGTGGGGGATCACCCGGAGGAGCTGGGGCGAGTGCAGGGCCTCCAGTCTGCCAGTTTGTGAAGAAGATGGGCTGCAAGGGAACGCTACCTGGCATGTTCAATTTACCAGTCGGCGTCTGTGTAACGCCACAAGGTGAGGTCCTGGTGGCTGACCGTGGCAACTACCGCATCCAGATCTTCAATCGCAAAGGTTTCCAGCGGGAAATCCGCCGCAATGCCAGCAGCATTGACAACTTTGTGCTGAGCTTCCTTGGGGCTGATCTGCCTAACCTCATCCCCTTATCCATTGCTGTCACTCCTCAAGGACTGATCGGGCTCACTGACAACTACGATAACTCCGTTAAAGTCTACACTATGGAAGGACACTGTGTGGCTTGCCATAAAAACCAGCTCATTAAACCCTGGGGCATTACTGCTATGCCATCGGGTCAGTTTGTGGTGTCAGATGTGGAAGGTGGCAAGCTGTGGTGTCTAACAGTGGACCGCAATCTAGGTGTGGTCAGCTACAACCGGTTGTGCTCCGCTGTGAGGCCAAAGTTTGTGACATGCGATGCAGCTGGAACGGTCTATTTCACCCAGGGCCTAGCCCTGAACTTTGAGAAACGTCACAATGAGCCCCACCTGGAAGGCGGCTTCTCTATTGGCTCGGTCGATGCAGACGGCCAGCTAGGCATACAGTTCAGCCATTTCTTCTCAGAGACGGAGGACTTCCGCTGTATCACTGGCATGTGTGTGGACGCCAATGGGGATTTGCTGGTAACGGACAGTGGCAGGAAAGAAATCCTCCAGTTTCCCAAAGAGGGTGGATTCAAAATCCTCATCCAGGAAGGCCTGACATGCCCTGTAGGAGTGGCCACCACCCAGAAAGGACAACTGCTCGTGCTGGATTGTTGGGACCACTGTGTCAAAGTCTACACATACATTCAGAGGAGGCACTCCTCCACTTCCTAGAGGAACAAATCCATTGTCTCTGCACATGCATGAGCACGAGAGGTTTAGCAGGTATGTGTTTGTATGAAAGGGTAGAATCACACTGTCACTTTAGTTTTGCTGCAGTCCAAACAAGTCTCACTCCAGCTTTAATCTGAGTTATTAAATGAATGTTCGAGGCAGTTTGGTTCAGTTTAAAACCCAACTGGATTTTAATTGAATACCTCAAATTAGAAATATGCCCATTGAGCTGCTTCCTCCCTGATTATTTGAAAGGATCACAGCACTGAGACAGAACTTAAACATTTTTTTACATCAACAAAGACTGGCACAAATGGTCACATTAAAATAAAGAAGCGACTGATGTCAAAGCTAATGCAGGCACAAAGTACAGATGATGTGTTCTTCCTCGGTTATACTGCTATATCCCACCTTTCAGCCTGACTGTGTGTGATGCATGGCGTTCACTGATCTGGCTCTGCTTTGCGAAAGAGAAAAAGAAAAGCTGAAAAATAACGTATTTACATTTAAAATAAAGCATACCGAGGCTTTTGGCCCGTGAAGCACTTTATTGTTGACACAGCACTGTTTCCTATCAACAGACAAACGTTGATGTTGCTGAATGCACCTTTTTAAAGTTCACTGTGCAGTTAACTAATGGGAAAATAATAACCCAGTATCTGCATTCAGTAACATTAAGTGTAGAATATTAAGTTACCCACAGCATATAGGGTTGACCGATACAATCACAACACAGTAGACTAGAGGAGAGCTATGATTTGTCATTTAATGGGTTTCACTGGGGTTCAGTGGGTTAAAGCCTCTTTGAGTTGAGGGATTCAGAATTGGGGTTACTGATGTTTAATTTGTATTTTTTAATACTGCCTAGTTAGCCTGTGTGCTGAGTTGTTTTTCAAGCAGCACATGAGCCTAAATTACTCAAATCTACTGCCTGTTTTACAAACACCTATTCTCTGTATATATTCATCTCCTGCTGGCCTTTTTATTTTAAACATAATCACTTTCAGTCCTACTTTTCGGACAGAGTTTTGTGTCCACAATGATTACATTACAGTCATTTAGCAGACGCTTTTATCCAAAGCGACTTACAATTCAGAGTCTATCACATTTCTACACCGTAGGCACAGTTTTGGGGTTAAGTGTCTTGCTCAAGGACACATCGACATGCGACAAGCAGAGCCGGAGCCGAGGATTGAACCACTGACCCTCTGATTGAAAGACGGCCCTGATATCCACTTAGCCACAGTCGCCCCTAGATTAGAGTTGCAACGGTTCCGGATGACTCTTGTAACACTAGAAGGCGCTTACAATTTTAAGGCTCTGTTCTTTTTATTCCCTCACCGTCAGCTATAATCATACAATCATCTATAAATTACTTTTTGTTGCAATGCCGGTCTAGCTGACACTAAATAGCTCAAGCACCCAGAACACAGTAAGCGTTTAAGGGTACAGCAGGCATCTACAACTTGAATAATGTTTACATACATTGTTCAAACCTGACATTTATTCCAGAGAGCTTATGCCCATTGTTTTCTCCCCCCTGGCCTGTGGTTACATACTTGTTTTTTCAGGATTGTTCAGAATAGCACTGCTAGGATAATGAAGCGGGAAAAATCCAGCCGCACACACCCTGGCTTTATTACACTGGGATGATGGGGAAGACAGCAGCCATGCGCAGAGGTAGTCAACATTTAATTGATTTATATCCACATGCATTTGATTCATTATTCTTTATTGAGTCCATATGAAGCATTAGAAAGATGCTTTCAGCTAAAATAACATCAGAAGACACCTTTTAATCAAAAATATTTAGTGGCCTAAAATATGGGGAAACAGTTAATCATTGAAAGCCATGTATGTAACATATTCTATGTCCATTAAGTCGTGAATAGTAAAGAGTCTTCCCTCCAATACATACCTTCCAGTCACATACAGACTTCAGTTTCAGCCTTAAAAACAAATTGTTTCACAAAGCTGACCTTAATTCTGCACTTGGAGCCCTATTAAATATACATATGAGAATCAAACTGTATCGTGAACAATAAGTGTTTTGAATATTTCCACACATGCATAGTGATGAGGAGTAGAACACAAATAGAGCCAAATTGAAGCATCAGTTGAAGTCTGTCATTTCCTTGTGTATTTCTATCATACATGATGTGTTTGTTTTAATGTTGCATCTCAACACTAAACCAATAGATTGTCTTAGCTGCATGTCAACCTGGCCATAACACATGTTTTCAGTGCTTTCACTTGATGTAACACTGTGACAGAAATAATACATAAAATGCTAGAAAAATCAAGTGTCCTTGTGTCAGTGGGCTGAACATCAGCGTCTCACATCATCTCAATATGTTTTATTCTACGTCATTGGAGAGAAGTTATTTCCTTGCATACTTTTTTCAAAGTTTATTATTTCTACCACTGGATCGTAATACGCAATATGTCCATGAACCAAACTCCCGTGTGTTTACGGTGTTATGCCCTTCGGAGGCTTTGAATTTTACGTGTTGAACACAGTACAGACATCTTTGTGTAGTCAAATTCCTGTTTGTATTGTTGATTATCCGAGTGCAATAAACATTTACCAAAATATCAGCAGCAGTTTTTCTTCATACCATTCTTACATTTGTGTATTCATTCAATCCGGAGTTCTTTGTGTGACGGCAGTCAAAGAAAACCTCTTGTTACCGTAATTGGTTGGCTGTAGAGTACCATTTCAACATATTATGCTGTAAGTGGAGTGTGATAAGAACAAAATTAATAACCATTCAATATTGAAGGCTTTTGAATCCCATGAAGAGTGTAATGTTCAAAAGCAGTGGTGGGATCTGAAGTATTCAGATCCTTTACTTCAGTAACAGTATATAAAGACAGTTACAAATAAATGTAAAAGTAAAAAAGGCCCTTTAAGTAACAAAATCAAAAGGCTTCACACAGTCGGATGGTCCTTGTCATCATATTGGAATAATATTTAGGCACAATAATGTAAGAATTGTAGGTTTTGGGATGGATCTAATTTGAACTGCTTTATCTACAGTTGGGCAGTGTAATCGATCGCAATGTATTTCTTAAGCCAATCTTATGTTTTGTATGTGAATCTTAATCAAAAGTAGCAAAAATGGACATAATCAAATAACGTACCAGTAGCTCAAAGTTGTAAATTGAATCAATTACTTTCCACAACTACTGAAAACAGCATTTCTTTCTATCAGGTTAAGTAATGCGTTTCATTCCACATGATTGCTCCACCACGTATTGTAGATTTTAGATGAAATTAAATCTTATTCCTCTGTGGCGCATGGATCCTGTCCCTGCCATAAAGCATGTTGTCATTAAACGGATTTGTTATATGGGGTGTGGGGGTTCAACCCTGGTCCCCCTTCACCCAAAATCTGTTTTTCTCTTTCTCTACAAGCTATGTAAGAGTATTTCTTTTGGAAACCCATGTGCCAATCAACCAAATTGAATCGCTAGACTGAAAATCAGCACTGTTTTTGGATCCCAGATGAACAGGATTAAACAAAAAAACACATTTAAATGGAACAGTGCTGCAAGATGCTTTTGGGATATTAAGTCCCACTGAAGTTTAATTCAATTCATGCAGCTTATGCTGCCTTTTAACCAGGAGGCGAATTCTGGCAGGATGACGTCTTTAAACATAACCCAGTTTAATCTATAGTCAGACAAAGTATAACCCTTCCTCCTGTTAAACTACAGTAAATCTTGCTCTTCTTAGTTTGGCTGTGTATTTGTATATCTCACATAAATCTAAATGAATATATATATATACAGTTGTGTGAAAAAGTGTTTGCCCCCTTCCTGATTTCTTATTCTTTTGCATGTTTGTCACACTTAAATGTTTCAGATCATCAAACAAATTTAAATATTAGACAAAGATAACACAAGTAAACACAAAATGCAGTTTTTAAATGAAGGTTTTTATTATTAAGGGGGAAAAAAAAATCCAAACCTACATGGCCCTGTGTGAAAAAGTGATTGCCCCCCCACCCTGTTAAAACATACATTAACTGTGGTTTATCACATCTTTGGAAAGCTGAGTTGAATTTCTCTAGCCAAAACATGGAACAGTGGTGAACCTTCCCAGGAGTGGCCGGCCGACCAAAATTACCCAAAGAGCGCAGCGACGACTCATCCAAGAGGTCACAAAAGACCCCAGAACAACATCCAAAGAACTGCAGGCCTCACTTGCCTCAATTAAGGTCAGTGTTCATGACTCCACCATAAGAAAGAGACTGGGCAAAAATGGCCTGCATGGCAGAGTTCCAAGACGAAAACCACTGCTGAGCAAAAAGAACATAAAGGCTCGTCTCAGTTTTGCCAGAAAACATCTTGATGATCCCCAAGACTTTTGGGAAAATACTCTGTGGACTGACGAGACAAAAGTTGAACTTTTTGGAAGGTGTATGTCCCATTACATATGGCGTAAAAGTAACATGGCATTTCAGAAAAGGAACATCATACCAACAGTAAAATATGGTGGTGGTAGTGTGATGGTCTGGGGCTGTTTTGCTGCTTCAGGACCTGGAAGACTTGCTGTGGTAAATGGAACCATGAATTCTGCTGTCTACCAAAAAATCCTGAAGGAGAATGTCCGGCCATCTGTTCGTGACCTCAAGCTGAAGCACACTTGGGTTCTGCAGCAGGACAATGATCCAAAACACACCAGCAAGTCCACCTCTGAATGGCTTAAGAAAAACAAAACGAAGACTTTGGAGTGGCCTAGTCAAAGTCCCGACCTGAATCCGATTGAGATGCTGTGGCATGACCTTAAAAAGGCGGTTCATGCTCGAAAACCCTCCAATGTGGCTGAATTACAACAATTCTGCAAAGATGAGTGGGCCAAAATTCCTCTACAGCGCTGTAAAAGACTCATTGCCAGTTATCGCAAACGCTTGATTGCAGTTGTTGCTGCTAAGGGTGGCCCAACCAGTTATTAGGTTTAGGGGGCAATCACTTTTTCACACAGGGCCATGTAGGTTTGGATTTTTTTTCCCCTTAATAATGAAAACCTTCATTTAAAAACTGCATTTTGTGTTTACTTGTGTTATCTTTGTCTAATATTTAAATTTGTCTGATGATCTGAAACATTTAAGTGTGACAAACATGCAAAAAAATAAGAAATCAGGAAGGGGGCAAACACTTTTTCACACAACTGTATATAGAATGTGTGGCATCTCTAATAACCCCGATATAATTCAGCCTCAATGTGATTTTGGCCTTCCTTCCTTCCTGTCTGTCAGCACACTCACCTTTCTGGTACTGCAGCCAGAGCTGCTGCTGGGCCTTCTTGCTGGGGAAGTAGATGCTGCAGCTGAGCTCGGAACCGTACAGGGCCTCGGATGCATAGTGGCTGCCATATTGCTGGAGAAAAGCCAGCAGCTCCTCGCGTGTGCTCTCCGCTGACAGCGTCTTCAGCACCTTCGAAAAGCCTGCCAGAACAAGAAGGAAATGGGGGATTTGTGATTTTGTATCCAGACGGATCCGTTAGATATGTAGATGTGCAATTAACGGGGAAAAAAGCTGGTTCGGGGCCAGACAGATACACAAATAATCACTAATGTTACATTTAACGTGAGGTGCTTTAAATAATTTGACCATCTGATTTCTTAGCATGACAAACACTGACCTGTGGATAAGGTGATGGAGCTGAGCTTGACTTTGTACAGGTTGCTACGCACTCTCCACTGTTGAACCATAGGATAGCCCGCTGCCTCACTAAACTGGGCATCCCCTAAGAAAGAGAGAAAAAAGAGAAAACAAGGAGATTTAATTCAGGAGAGATGAAAGAAAGACAAGTAACAACAATTTAAAACAAATTCCAAAACTCAGATTCATAAAAAAGATGCTGAAATTCAAAATAAATGAACACATAAATAAAATCCATCATGTCATTTGAACCATTTATTGCAGATCTGTTGTTATCCATTATTGCCATAACATCATTTATTATCACAGCCCATATATCCCAGCTGCTCCCGGATCAACGGCAGATATATAGTGCAACTTGAACTCCAATTGGATTGCTGACATTTAGAAGAGGGAGCAATCTTGACTTTCTCTGCAATTCAATTATCAAACTTTCACACCGGTTTAGAAGCAAAGCCACAAAAGTGAAGAGCGAGGGAGAAAAAAAAAAATAAACTGCTTATGGGAACCTTGATCCTGTGCCTCTGGAAAATGTTTTACACCTGAGACATTCATGCACTGTGAAAAAAAGGCCAATTTAGTTTTAAGTGTGTGTGTGTGTGTGTGTGTGTGTGTGTGTGTGTGTGTGAGTACAATTCTGGTGAAAGCCGAACCAAAGTAAAAATCTCAGGGGTCAATCTGGATCAAATGCCAATTTAGCTAATGGAGGGATTAGGGAGCAGAGGTGGAGGTGCAGGTTTGAAGCCAAGTGACTCCGTTCCCCCGCAAAATGGGGTGGAACAGTCAAGGAAAGGATAAAAGGATGAAACGGGACGTTAAGTGTTTAGAGTTTAGAAGGTCCAGTACATGTGTGTGTGTGTGCATAATACTGTGTTTATGAAAGCATTTTGAGATGGGGTTTAAGGTTTAACACAATACTCAAGGACAAGCCGACATCTTTGTAAATAATCTTGCACTCTGGATTTCACAAAATTCACACAATGGACAATGTTAAAATGTCTCATGACCAAGATATTTCGAGGGTATTTCACAGAAAAAATAGTTTTTTAATACGCTGCTGTGTTTTTCTCTTTTTTTAGGGAGTCATATTGGCTCTAGTCAGGTCAGAATTAATTTAGTAAGCGACCATGAATAGATCACAGAGGGATAATAGCGCTGCCATTACTCTCAACATGAGAGACAGATAAGAAAAAAGGCTATATCCCCAAACACACACACCCTCACCTGAGAGGAGCTGCAGGTTGGGCAGCGGCTCGGACAACACCCCCCGGCATTGTTCCTCTACCGGTAAGGGGATGACCATGAGACCATCCGCTAGTTGGGGAAAGTCCTTGATGAAGTTGTTGTCCCTGGGAAAGACAGATGTAAGAAAGTGCAAACATTTAGTTCCTTAAAACTGGAGGTAATAGACATTGTGGTACATCAATAATTGCCAAGTATTTACAAGGATGCTGTCCAGCAACAGTTTGTACCAAAAAGTTACCAAACAATTACAACAACCTTTACTTTATCTAAAGGTTGTATTTGATAGTCAAGGGTGCAGCTACACATTCTAATCTCCATGAAAACAACTCAACAATACATATCTACAATCCCAACATGCTCCAGTGTGCAGCTTCTGGCTTCATTCAGAGACAGGGATTTGGAGAATTTCTATCCCCACAAGTTTTTTTTCAGTGAGAATGTTTCATGTGCTGATATTTCTTGGTTGGAATGAAGGCGCTTGACTTATCGGTTACCCACGATTATTGGGAAAATATTTAAACACAGATCAACACAGATGCTTTCTTGTCGTCACTGTAATTTGTTCCATCCACGAGTGACATAATTAAAGATTTCCTCACTGTTTGTGTAAACATCAATAAACATGGGTACAAAGCCAACACATGTGAGAATGTGTGTGTGTGTGTGTGTGTGTGTGTGTGTACGATGCTTGGCGGACAAATAAAGAAAACAGTTGTGTCCCTCAATTTGAGGGCAGAATGGACAGCTGCAGGCAAAGATAAGACAGACCCCCTGGAATCTCTTCCTTTCTCTCAGCTGGAGACGGTAAGAACAACAAAAAATGGTAATGTGAAAGGTAGAAGACCCACATACTGTCTCTCTCTAGTGAGAGGTAACAAAGAAGGCACATGCACACGGAGTTAATACATTTGAAATTATGATCTAAACATTTTTTTCCAGCCTTTTTCCTTCTCCCATTTGTACCACCATGCTGTATCGCAGTGCACAAATATACATCTTGCAAAATAAATACCAGTAGTCTTACAAGTAGAGAGATTGTGAACGCTCCGCTCCATTTTTCTTCGGTAGATGGACCGTTCTGGTTGAACCAAAGCAGTTCCTGTCAAAAAGATGAGTTGCCTCGCTGCATTCTAAGAGCACGGCAAGCAGCTGCAACCTATTTCCCATAATCCACTTTTATGGGACCAAGTCTCAGAGCGCAGACCTCGTGCCACAGAGACTCTCCTCGATATGATTATTTTTCATCCCGTTCCTCTTTTTCTTTTCTCTCTCTCTCTCTTTGCGTCTTCTAAGCCACGGGACTGGGTTAAGAGGGTTGTCTGGTAACCGCAGGGTCAACGGTTCGATCCTCGACTGGGATGTGTCACGTGTCGTAGTGTCCCTGAGCAAGACACTGAACCCCCGGCTCCCCGGGCGCCTGTCATTGCAGTCCACTGCTCCCTATATACAGGGATGGGTCAAATGCAGAAGGCAAATTTCGTGTATGTGTATATGTATATGACAATAAAAATGGTTTCTTCTTTCTTTCTTTCTTCTTCTAACCACAAAGCCTGTTAGACGCAATGCCAGCCTTAGTGTTACAATGCCAGGGTTGACTCAAGGGTAGAGGATGAGAGGAGAGAGGAAGCGAAGAGGTGCTGTAAAAAGATTACCGTGGCTTATGCTCACAGAAAACATATTGATTGCGAAATTAAATCAGCCAGCTTCACGCTGAGGCTCAGAGAACCACTGGAGGAGCGTCGACCAAGATGATATGTAGCTTTATGGATTTTTCAAGCCCAGATGTGGACTGTCCTACAAGGAGCTCCTTTTCTCCTTCTTCTCTTTTCATTCACATTGTAGGGTTGAAAAAACACACAATTTAAGAGGGTGTTGCTCAAAAACAAAATTTGCCCTATTTGAAAGATATAAAAGAGTGTTAAGACTCGTGCCTCATTGCCTCATTGCAGTGCCCGAGTACACATCAAATCATTAAATGTCATCAACCTTCTCCTCCTTCTTTTACCCTTGAGGGAAAACACAGGTTAAGTGGCGAGACAGCAAATTCAGAAGAGTCAAGATGTCAATGCTGAAGATTTCTGTTGATGTGGTTCCTGTGAGACCATAGTTCTTTGTGTTTGTGTGTATATACTGTGTGCGTATGCGGCAGGAAGCAAGTTTGAAGCATCTATTCTGCTGACAGCTCATTAGAAGAGGAGACATTTATCCATATCAATACAACCCAAACATATCAATGTGGTTTGTGAGCCATGTGTGTGTCTTTCAAGAAAAATCATCTCAATCTTATACAATTGGTAACAATATGGTTTAGCCGTTAGCTGGCCATTGCTACTTTATCTCACCTCGGGACGAGACTGACTTGTTTTAATGAGCTTTAGCTTAACGAGCAGCAAACCTGACATACGTAGAACTTCCTCAAGGCAGACTTTTTGACTTTTTCAACACAGGTGTAACTAATAACATTTGTAGTGACTGAATTAGCTTCAGGGACATACTAATGTGTGTGCTAACCCAATGATATGAAGACTTAAGTGGAACAGAGCCATCATTTACACCTATGCTTTTCCTGGAAGCAGAAGTCAAAATGTCTGCTGTGAGTGACAGTCTATAGAAGACCAGCCACCAGTGTGAATTTGCCATGAGTGAAACCAGTACTCATTCTCACCACAGGAAGCTTAAGTGCACTACCCATGGTCTAAATAAGACTAAAAGCATTTTTATTTTCCCTAATGGCAGATTCAAATTAATTTTCAGTCAAAAGAAATACATGACAGTCATTTTACATAACTTGCTAACACACTATGTACACACACACACACAAAAACTCACCTGTTTTCATAGATGCAAAAAGGTTAAAATCTTGAAGCTTAATTTCACCTGGTAAAAGCTTTTTTTTGAAAATGGATCACCTACATTTTTCCTCTCACTAGCCTCTCTGGGCTCCCGTAGTTCACCCTCAACTTGCACTGTGTTTCTACCAGTAGACCTTTACAGAGAAAGGCATGATGGCTGAATTCCTCTTAGCTGGTATTGTGCATATAATAAGCTTAAAGAAATAGAAAGACATTCTCGGAAATACACGCTTATTCACTTGCTGACGGAGACTTAGATGAGACAGTTGAAACCAGACTCATGCCAGCAGCTGGGTAGACTGGAAACAGGGGGGAAACCGTTAGCTTGTTTAATGCGTACATTGTGTTTATGTGTAAAAAAAACAAACAAAACAATTCAAGCATATCTATGTATATACAAAATAAAATGACTGGCAAATTGTCTTTTGCAGTGACAGAACATATGCATATTCATGATCATTTTGTTTGATTCTATTGAACTATGGGCTTTGTCATCTGTTCAAGCTCTCATGAGCCGCTCACATCTCAGGCCAGAGATGTGTGTCGTACTCGCACTAATGAGGATTAACACAGGTGGCTGGAATTAATTGATGGCAATTACACTTTATCCAGGACTTCATTTGCATCATTTAAGAAAAAAAATGTTTAAGACAGGATTAGCTTTTCTATATTAATATCTACTCCTGGATTAATCTATACTCTTTCAAGGTACTGTACCCAGCCCATTAATTGACACACCTACGCAGCCTTACCACACTTAACAACCTTCTGTGCACCAGACCACATGTGAGCCTGGACTCGCTGGGGCAATGCTAGCAAACTTGTGTATTTACTCATGTTTCATTCAGTACCCATGTGTGCTCATTACGGCCAGTGGACACTGGGCTCCCTCCTGGCCAAACAGGACTCCAATCCTACTTGAGTGGCAAAGCCTTCCCATTTGAATAAGAATCTCCAAAACACAAGATTTACAAGTTGTATCTGGTAAGATAACAAATAGTCGAGACCAGTTCATGCATGTATATTTAAGCTCCGACTCTCATTCTTTCTCCTCTCCTTCTTTCTCTCATTCTCCATGTCTCTTCCTGCCCTTTGTTCTATTCCAATTCAGAGTGTAAAGATATATCGGATTATTAAAGCGTAAAGTGGCTCATGCCTCACATGGAAGTCATTTTTATTCTTCTGTGTGTGTGCCAGCCATTCGTCAATGTCAGTATTTCTCTCATAATAGAGTGTTGCAATTGTTCCCTGCTTGTTGAGCCTTGTCCTCAGCGGTAACTCTTTTGCATTTGCTCTCTCTGCCTCCATTCTTCCTGCTGTCTCTTGTTCACTCTTTCAGCTACACCTGCTCTGTCCTCCCCAATCGCAGGCATTCTGGCGCAGATAAGAGCTATCTACAAGTCAGTTTAGAAAAATCTTTTTGTGTCTCTGTGTGTGTTTCAGCCTGTATCTGTCCATCTGAGTTTATAATAGGCATGAGGGCTATCTACAAGTCACCTAATTTCAAATCCCTGTGTGTGTGTGTGTGATGTGTAAGAGATAGAGAGAAAGAGCATGTGCTCACGCATAGTTTGAGTGAGTATATCTATCCGAGTTTGTGACTGTGTAACTTATATTGAGTGGTACTTATCGAAACATTGTCTGAGGTAATTGGCTCTTGTGCTGTTTTGTCCGTGTAGGAACCTCATCCTCACATCACAGCACTGATAGGACACATTAAACCATACTCACTCCATTCAGCATCTCAGTTCATTATCTACAACCTCAAGACTCAACTGGTGCTTTTTCCATAATGGCTTCTATTGGAAAACTACATCCGCCACTGATCGCCTTCATTCTTTCTCTGTCACATTTTCCTACATGTCGTTTAAAGATTGTGATTCATCTGCCAAAGAGGAGGCTAACCAAAAATAGCAATAACTAAAGACCAGATCACTCCAGCCACGACGCCAAATGTAAAAGTGTATGAACCTTCCTCAGTTCCTGCCTCCTTACTTCCGGTGCCCTTGCTCGGACCATACCCATCTTCGACCACGGCCTTCATTTGATCTATTAAAGTTTGGTGACTGAATCGTCCATGGTTTTGACAATATTATGATGACAAAGTATTACCACAGACATGAAAACACCTGGTATGGTAATCAAAGCCACCTCTGTGGTAGTTTCCCCTATAGTAGGTGTCTCCAGGACCACAAGCTGTAACCAATTAGAGGGCCCATTGTTTAAGAGACTCATTGTAGGCCTACTCTACA